CTCTCAGGAATCCACACCCTCCAAAGCTAAATTCTGCATTCCCACACCTGTCTCACTCACAGTCACACCCTCCAGCCCCTGACCATGCACCAGATTTGATGTAATTAATCTAAAGGCTGTGATTGCCCTTTGAAGCGATATCCTGGTAGCTCTTCACTCCATAGTATTTGTAGCTTGGACTCCAGCTCATAACTCAGAACTGAAGTTTCCTGAACAGCCAACACTTGCTGCAGGTTTGGTCATTGTGGATCTACCACCTCCCACATACTGCAGTTGCAATGTCTCACCTACCCACCTACTTCTGTTATTTTTTGTGAATTAAATTGGATGGTAAATGGTTTAAAAATTAATTTCTCTGTTGTACTGTTCAGCTGCAATAATATCTCCTGATTTAAACCACCTGGCCGATGAAATGAGATACAGAAGAAATACCTATCAGTTACTTGTTTACCTGCGATGTTACACTGTGTCACTGGGGTTGATGGGGCTGTCTACCACTGTTTTATTTTCATTTCCTGCCACTTTTTCATGCAGGTCTGCTCCTCTCTTTATGCAGCTGCTGTCCCCATTCTCTCTCATGATGTTTCAGAAGCACACAGTTCTCTCTCTCTCTCTCTCCCCTAAAGGTGTCGGTTACTATCTCTGGTGATTCTCTCTCTCTCCTCCTTTCTCTTTCCTCTCTCTCTCTTTCTTTCCGTCTCTCTCTCTCTCTCTCCCTACCCCCCCTTTCTCTTTCTTCTCTCTCTCTTGCTTCTCTCTCTCTGTTTCTCCTTCTCTCTCTCTCTCTCTTTCTGTCTCTGTCTCTCTCAAACAACACCCTCTCTTCTTTCTCTCTCTGTGGAAATGAGTTTGGTTTTCACGACTGTATACACTTGGTGTTGAGGTACTTCCTGTTATCTCCACCTTCACGATAGTGCCACCTCTTTCTTGAAAGTAGTTTTGATCTAGCTACCCCATCAAATACTTGAGTCATCTTAGACTTAAACCAAGACACTGACAGGAGCATTTTCTCAAATGTGTATTGAGTGGAGCCAGTTCATTTGATACGTTATGAGCTGAATGTTTACAAAATTATAAAATGATAGTGTGGAAAAAAAGAGGCTATTTGGCTCACTGTGTTTCGGGTGGATATTCAGTTTACCCCACTCTGCTGCTTGTTTTTTTTTTCACAAAGACCTGTTTTTCTTAATATATAATTTCACTTAAAGCATTTATTTCCTTCTTTGTTAAACGCCTTTCTGCCAACTTCTCACTCATTGTAGTCCCAGTCACAACTCACTTGTAAATTTCTGAAGAAGGGTTCCGACCCGAAACGTCAGCTTTCCTGCTTCTCTGCTGCCTCGCCTGCTGTGTTCCTCCAGCTCCACACTGTGTTATCTCACTAGTAAAAGTGTTTCTGTTGGCAGCCTTTGATTCTTTTTGTCACTCACATTAAATTTGTGGTCTCTGGTTACTCACTGCTGATGCTAGAAACAATCGCTGATTAAAAACCATTTGTGATTTTGATCATCTCTATCAAATCTCTTCATAAGCTTCTCTGCTACACTGTCCACATAACTGATGAGCTGACATCCTTTCTACTGCGCCCCAATGTTGGGAGCAATTCTTCAGCTGGCTGCTTTATAGATGTTTATGATAACTTGCTTATTTTTGTGCATTACTCCTTTCTTAAAAAAAAAAGCAATAATCCCAAAGGAGTAGTAAGAACTGCCGATGCTGGAGTCTGAGATAACAGTGTGGAGCTGGAGGAACACAGCAGGCCAGGCAGCATCAGAGGAGCAGGAAAGCTGACGTTTTGGGTCTGGACCCTTCTTCAGAAACGGGGTCCCGACCAAAACATCAAATTTCCTACTCCAGTAATCCCAAAGGCTTGTTTTAACAGCCTTCTCAAGTTGTCCTGCCTCATGCCACAATGTACTTACAGACAAAGAATTTGGAAAGGGAGGTTTACTCATGCTAATGTGGAGGTTTTAAACTAATCTGGCACTTGGGGGGATGGAGGGGTGCAGTTGGGGCACAGAGTAGATGTAAAGGTGGGAGCAAGGTCCAATCAGATATTGAAGGTGTGCTAGGACAGTCCAGTAGGTGGGGAAGACACTGGCCTGGATAAGGCACACGTAAGGGCCAGAAAGGTAAAGTGTGTGTATTTGAACGCAAGAAGCTTGACTGGTGAGGTGGGGGAGCTTAGGGCATTGATCACTATGTGGGACTATCATATTAGTGCAGTTACTGAGATATTGTTGAAGGAAGGACAGGGCTGTCAGCTCTATATTCCAGGGTTTAGATGTTTCAGGCATGATAGGGGGTGATGTAAGAGAGATGGGTGCATTACATTATTGATAAAGGAAATCATCACTGCTGTAATGAGGGAAAACATCCTTCAAATGAGGCCTTCTGGATAGACATTGGAAATAAGCAAAGGGGTGATCACTTTGCTGGGATTATACTAAAGGCTTCCCAACAGTCACAGGAGATAGAGGAGCAGATATATAGGCAAATCACCAGAAAGGTATGGGAGAAACAGGGTGATATTTGTAATCCTAACATTAACTGGGATCACTTTAGCGTGAAGGGATTAGACAGAGTGGAATTTTTAAATGTGTATCCAGGATTGCTTTTTGAGCCAGTGCATAGATAGTCCCACTAGAAGTGGGGCAATGCTAGACTTAATCCGAGATAATGAAGGCGATCAAGTGGTTGAAGTTTCAGTAGGCAAGCATTTTGGGGATAGTGACCAATAACTGTGTAAGTTTCAGAGTCATTATGGATAGTGGTGGAGTTAAATGTCTAAATTTGGAGAAAGCCAATTTCATTACAATTAGATAGGATCTGGCAAACGTAGATTGGGAGCATGTACTTGCAGATAAGTGTACATTTGGAAAGTAGTATGGTGAGAATTGAGGGCCAGCGTATTTCTCTAGTGAAGGGCAAGGGCAGCAAGTCCAGGCAATCCTGGATGTCAAGGGATATTTGTAATTTTGATGAAGAAAAAGAAGGAAGTTATTGATTGTAAAACAGGGAGGCCCTTTAAAAGTATGGAGAATGTAGGAGGTTGCTTAAAAGGGAAATTAGGAGGTCTAAAAGGGGCCACAAAATCTTTGTCAGGTGGGATAAAGGAAAACTCCAAGGCTTTTTATAAGTACGTTAGAGTAAGAAGTAAGGTGACCTTCTGGAACATGTTGCGATTATAAGGCAGAGATATTAGATGTTTTATTGGCATAAAGGTATGTAAATCCCTAGCGCCTGATGAGATATATCTCAGGCTGCTTTGGGAGGTAAGGGAGGAGATTACTGGGGCCCTAGTGGAGATATTTAATACTTTGCTGGTCATAGGCAAAATGCCAGATGACAGGAGGATAGCTCATGGTGTTCCTTTGTTCAAGAAAGGCTTTGGTCAGGGAATTACATTCTAGTTACTCTGACGTTAGTGTTTGGGAAATTATTGGAAAAATTTCTGAAGCACAGGATTAATTAATACTTGGACAGATTGACTATCCTTGATCAATGTGAATTTGTTCCAGGCAGATCCTATCTTGACTAATTTAATTGAGTTTTTTGTAAAGGTGACTAAATACATTGGTGAGTATCGTGCAGTTATCGAGTCACGGAGATGTACAGCAAGGAAACAAATCCTTCAGTCCAACTTGTCCATGCTGAACAGATATCCTAAATTAATCCATTCCCATTTGCCAGCATATGGCCCATATCCCTCTAAACCATTCCTATTCATGTGCCCATCCTGATGGCTTTTTAAGTGTTGTAAGTGTACCAGCCTCCACCACTTCCTCTGGCAGCTTATTCCATACATGCACCACCCTCTGTGTGAAATGTTGCCCCTTAGGTCCTTTTAAATCTTTCCCCTCTCACCTTAAACCTATGCCGTCTAGCTTTGGGCTCCACTACCCTGGGAAAAAGACCTTGTCTATTCATCCTTTCCATGCCCCTCATGATTTTATAAACCTTTATAAGGTCACCCCTCAGCCTCAAACACTCCAGAGAAAATAGCCCCAGCCTATTCAGCCTTTCTGTATAGCTCAAACCCTCCAACCTTGGCAACATCCTTGTAAATCTTTTCTGAACCCTTTCAAGTTTCACAACATCTTTCCTGCAGCAGGGAGACCAGAATTGAACGCAGTATTCCAAAAGAGCCCTAACCAATGTCCTGTACAGCCGCAACATGACCTCCCAACTCTTATACTCAAAGCCCTGACCGATAAAGGCAAGCGTGCCAAACACCTTCTTTGCTATCCTGTCTACCTGCAACTTTATTTTCAAGGAACTATGAACCTGCACTCCAAGGTCTCTTTATTCAGCAACATTCCCCAGTACCCTACCGTTAAGTCCTGGCCTGATTTACCTTTCTAAAATGCAACACCTCATATTTATCTAAATTAAACTCCATTTACCACTCCTCAGCCCATTAGCACATCTGATGAAGGTCCCTTTGTACTCTGAGGTAACTGACTTCACTATCCATTACACCATCAATTTTGGTGTCATCAGCAAATCTAGTAACCATACCTCGTATATTCACATCCAAATCGTTTGTGTAAATGATGAAAAACTGTGGGCACAGCACTGGTCCTTGTGTCACACCGCTGGTCACAGGCCTCCAATCCTTCAGGAATGGCAGTGAGTTCCTGGAGGAGTGATCCTGTATGGAGGTAATGCCAGGCTGTGGATTCTCATTATTGGCCCTGATTTAGCTCACCCGTATGCTTTCTGCCTGAGATTGGGAAATAAACTAGAGCAGGAACAACGAGGGAGGAATTGATAGTGATAAAAAGAGGTGGGGGAGAACAGAACTAAAATGGCAATTGGCAAAGAAGCAGGTACCCTTAATAAGAGAGACAGATTTTTTATTTGTTTGCAAAGGTTATTATTGTTATACAGGAATAGAGAGTTATGGGATTGAGCCAAACTCCAAAATAGATATTGCGGAGCAGGTTGATTGTTAAACCTTTTGGGTGGTTTGAAGGCGGGTGTTTTATATTTTGCAGGTTCGTTCTTGGCGGCGAAATGTAATTCGAACAAATACTCGAGTTGTGAACCTTGCCAGAGAGGCTTCTACCAACCTGTCTGGACCATGGAGGATCATTGCCAACCACACACAGTTTGTGATTCAAAAGGTACTTTTATTTTTCTCAAATAAACTTGTCGTCAATTTTCCCCCTGTCTCCCATCCTTATATCGATTCTCCTTTAGCGTTTCCTCCGCTTCAGTTATCTGTTTAAGTCTGGCTTCCCCTGAACTCCTCCTGTCTCAACTCTCGGGGCAGCCATGAGCTGTGGTTCAGTGGATAGCTGTTTGATCAGAAAACTCTAAGTTCAAGTCCCACTCCAGAGCCGTGGGCATAGAATCCAGGCTACAAACTCAGCGTAGTACAGGGATTGCTGCAGTGCTGTCTTTTGGATTGGATATTATAAACTGAGGCCTCATCTGTTTTCCCAAGTAGATTGTATCAATCTCATGACACTATTTCACTAAAGAGAAAGGGAGTTCTCACCTGAACCAGCATCACAGCCTATGGATACTGGGTAGGCCATTTTGGACTGAAATGAGGAGAAATTTCTTCACCCACAGTGTGCTGAGCCTGTGGAATTGTCTTCCCTGGAAAGCAGTTGAATGTCTTCAAGAAGGAGTTAGTTATGGTTCTTAAGGGATCAAAGGGTGTGGCGAGAAAGCAGGAACAGGGGACTGAGTTGGACAATCAGCCACGATTCTATTGAATGGTGGATCAGGCTCAGAGCCAACGCCGACTCCTATTTCCTACGTTTCGTTTGGCCAACATTTGCCTCGACAAGCAACATCAGTGGAACAGATGACCTGGCCATGATCGCGTTGCGGTCTTGTGGGATCTCACCGTGCACAAATTGACTGCCACGTTTCCTGCATTACAGCCATGACAGGACTTTGAAAGCACTTTGCTGGCTGTACAGTGTGCCTGTGAGGACATCCTGAGGTGGCGAAGGGTGCTGGATAGAAGCCAGCTGCCATTACTGGATCTCGAGCAGTATCTGTGGGAGAAGAGTCTTACAAATGGAAAGTCATGTGGAGAGTGAGGGAATCACTGACTATCAGAATCACCCTGATGACTGTTAGTAACTCAAATGCTGCTTCTAAAATTGACTGTCACAGGATGTGGTATATCACATTGAGGTGGGAGTACAGATGTGCTGCATTGGTGTTGGTTTTTAGTGAATGTGTTTTTTTCAGTGTGGTAAGTCGGGTGCAGATGCTCGGGGAGCAGAGGCCTCGAACACAGTTCCTCAGCTCTTCAATTCACCTCGAACCAATGTGGGCTACAGTTTCTTGCTTTCTCCAGGAGGTAGGGGGCCTCCTGCGAGATTATTCTACACTGATGACAAAAGACAAAATAAAACAAAAATATTGTTAATGGAGCAAAGTTCCACTGATGCTTGAGGTCTGAGGTAAAACAGAAGGTGCTGGAGAAACTCAGCAGATCTGGCAGCATCTGTGGAAAGAGAAACAGTTGAGGCCGATATGCCACTTCTTCAGAACTGGAATTGCTGGATTGAAACTGATCTGGTTCCCAATGCTATTCCTTACTTCGACTTGTGGCTGCATTCCTCATGTGATTCCCAGCTCTGCTGGTCCACTGTGTTACTTATCAGCCCTTCTCTCCACACACTTCTGTGTCACTCAGGCTCCAACACCCAAACACACCCCTTGCAATGCTCCTCATCAAGAGTCTATTCTTATCACCACTATCATTGGGCACTTTATCCTTCAGGGCTACTCTGTATTTTAATACTGCACCTGAACTCCCACTTGCACCCCCATCACTATCCACTGCCACCCCCTCACCGTCGCCTTGCCCCTCGCCATCTCCTGATCCCATGCTGACTCCCAGCCCCTCACCAGAGAGACAGAAGGTAGCAGTGGATGGATGCTTTTTGGAATGGAGGGTTGTGACTAGTGGTGTTCCTCAGGGATCAGCGCTGGGACCTCTGTTCATGATCTACATAAATAATTTGGAGAAAAACATGGCTGGTCTAATTAGTAAGTTTGTGGACGATACAAAGATTGGTGGAGTTGCAGACAGTGAGGTGGATTGTCAGTGGATACGGCAGGATATAGATAAGGGCAGAAAAATGGCAGATGGAGTTTTATTCAGACAAATGTGAGACGATACATTTTGGAAGGTCAAGTACAGGTGGAAATTATACAGTGAATGGCAGAACCTTTTAGGAGTATTGATCCGCAGAGGGATCTGGGTGTACAGGTACACAGATCACTGAAAGTGGCAGTGTAGGTAGATAAGGTAGTAAAAAAGGCCTATGGCATGCTTGCCTTCATTGGGAGGGGCATTGAGTATAAGATAGACAAGTTATGCTGCAGCTTTATAGAGCTTGAGTTAGACCACACTTGGAATATTGCATACAGTTCTGGTCACCACACTACCTGAAGGATGTGGATGCTTTAGAGAGGGTACAGGAAAGGTTTACCAGGATGTTGCCTGGTATGGAGGATTTTAGCTATGAAGAAAGGGTTTGACTGGGTTTGTTTTCACTGGAACACAGGAGGTTGAGGGGCAACCTGATAAAAGTTTATAAGATTGTGAATGGCATGGATAGAGTGGAAATTATGAGGCTTTTTCCCAGGGTAGAGGGGTCAATTACTAGGGGACACCTGTTCAAGGTGCAAGGGGGGAAGTTTAAAAGAGACGTATGAGGCAAATTTTTCACACAAAGGGTGGTGAGTGCCTAGAACACGCTGCCAGAGGAGGTGACGGACGCAGACACAACAGCAGAATTCAGGAAGCACCTGAACGAGTACATGAATAGGAAGGGAATAGAGGGATACAGATCCTGTAAGTGAAGACAGTTTTAGTATGGAAGGGCAAAATGTGTCGGCACAGGCTTGGAGGGCTGAAGAGCCTGTTCCTGTGCTGTGTTGTTCTTTGTTCACTGCGACCATAATCTTTTCTCCTCTGCCATTTGCACTCTATGTGCTGGCCAGGAGAGTTTCTGTGACTGGAATTGCCAATCTGCCCATCAGCTGACTATGTATACCAGCAACTGACCTGAAAGTGTTGGATTTGGTTGACACAGACCAGAGAAGGGGATTGTCAACATAAGCAGGATGGAGAATTGATACTTCTGGAATTGGGAGGGTATAATGGTAAGGCAGAGACTTGCAATTTTATAGACTCTGTCGTGACCTTATGTTGTCCCAAAACCCTTCACAGCCACTGGAGTACTTTTGGAATGTAGTCACAATTGTAATGTTGAAATTGACTACAAATGAAATGCCACAACTGGCAATGCAATAATGACTGAAGACAGTGCGGCGCTCCCTCAGTACTGACCTTCAGACAGTGCAGCTCTCCCTCACTACTAACCCTTTGACAGTGCGGCACTCCCTTAGCACTGACCCTCCGACAGTGCGGCGCTCCCTCAGCACTGACCCTCCGACAGTGCGGCTCTCCCTCAGTACTGACCCTCCGACAGTGCGGCGCTCCCTCAGTACTGACCTTCAGACAGTGCAGCTCTCCCTCAGTACTGACCCTCCAACGGTGCGGTGCTCCCTCACTACTAACCCTCTGACAGTGTGGCGCCCCCTCAGCACTGACCCTCCGACAGTGCGGCGCCCCCTCAGCACTGACCCTCCGACAGTGCGGCGCCCCCTTGGCTCTGGGTACCTCCAATGGGAGTGGATATACCTGACGGATTACAGTGTGTGAGAACGTTGACCGTACCCTTCTCCTCAGTGCAAAATGTGTTGGGTGAGAATTGCTAACATTAACTAGGAAGGTTGGGTTCGGTGTGTGACAGCCCTAGCCTTGAACAGGAAATAATCGAGTTGTCAGCTTTAGCCACAGGGAGCACTGTTATATCTGCACAGTGACCTGCTATTTCAGCAAGGTGAATTGGGGCAATTTTAACAATGCTAGCCATTGGTTTGTGCTGTACAACACTGGGCATATGTGCACTCACCTTATGAGGCACACAGGCACCCTATCCCACTGTTCTTCAAAGGCCTGTCAGCAGGAACCAGCTGCTACCAGTTCTTCAGGCTTGTAACTGATGGGCTGAAGGAACAATTCTGTTAGGGCTTGAGTGATAATGAGCTTCGCTCTTTCCTGTAATCGACAGAAGCCCTCATTACATTCTTGTTCACTTCTGGGGATTCGCTTTTTGATGTAGAGGGAGAAAATGCACTCTGTCAGGCCAGAGTGGAACAGGTCGTCAGTGGATGCAGTGGGTTTGAGACCTCGCTGTCAGCAAATCTCTCGTTGTAGTGTGTCACTCATCACCTTCCAGCAAGCCTTTACGTGGAATGATGTTTTGTGCAGAGTGATTGGGAGTTTCATTTCAGCATTCAAACAATTGCAGGTGGAAATCCCCACCAGCCTGTACTCTCACTTGCCCCTTTAACATGGAGAATGGGGCTGACAGCGTGTTGGTCTGTCTCGGGGGAGGTCACCCACACAGCTTGTGTGAAAGTGGACTCCATATGTTTAAAGATAGTAGGAACTGCAGAACGTCAGCCTTTCTGCTCCTATGATGCTGCTTGGCCTGCTGTGTTCATCCAGCCCTGCACCTTGTTGTCTCCATTTGTTTAAAGTCCGTTTCTGTCGGCAAACGTGGGTTTCTTGCAAGAGGTGACGTGGAGCTCTGTGATGACCAGGAACCTTTTCCCAGGTTCAATCCTTGAAACTGAGGCGGAGATCTGCCCCGGTCTGGAGGGTTATCTCGGTGCTTACTTTTCTTTTTGCCGCACAATGTGTGTTTTTCTCATTTCTTTTATTATTCTGTTACATTACACTTTAACAGCCATTTGCATCTCACTTGAATGCATCCTACGTTTCTTTCCCTTACTGCAAACCCTTTTGTCATTTAGTCTCTGCTGCCCTCTGTCCTCAATCTTCAATGTTCTCTTTTGTTCTTCACTCCCTCTCCTCTCGCTCATTTCCTAACCCCTGTGTTTCTATCCTGCTTTTGTTCTGATGAAGGGACCTACAGGTCAAACTTTTTTTCCATGGAGAGGGTTCACCTGTCAGCCTTTATTCCTCAGCCAAACAGATGGTCATTATCCCTTTTCTTGTTGGTGGGAGCTTGCTGTTTGCAAATTGGCTGCTGTGATGCCTACATTACTGTAGTGAAAATGCTTTAGAAGTCCTAAGCTTGTTTTAGAGCACTGTGGGATGTTTTGCGGCTGTGTAAAACTTTTTGTAATTACAAATTATCATTTTCTTTGTTCATATCCAGCAGGGGTCATGAACCTGTGATGAACAGAAACCTTTGTTAGCCCCCTAACAAGATCCGTAAATTCAGCAAAAAGCAGGAACTGAATCGAGAACTTTCTGACCTTTGTAACTTAGCTTTTACATCAGGACTGTTTACTTCCACCTCTGTAATGTTGCCTTTCCCCGCTCCCACCTTAGCCTCCCTGTGCTTTTTGTTGGCTCTAGTCTAAATATAGATCTTTATTTCCTTCACCTTTCTACCATTTCACCAGATAGCTATCAACACAAACTGGGAATGAAAGTTAGATAACAAGGTGTAGAGCTGGATGAACACAGCAGGCCAAGCAGCATCAGAGGAGCAGGAAGGCTGACGTTTCGGGTCTGCCTGCTGTGCTCATCCAGCTCTACACCTTGTTATCTCAGATTCTCCAGCATCGGCAGTTCCTACTATCTCTGGGAATGAAAGTCCCTGGATATGCATGGCCCACACATTACTCCGACAACAGAGGCACGTTAAAGTGCTCAACTTTCTGACCAGCAAGCAAGAATATTTCTTGCTGACATCCGAGTATTAAAAAATGCAATCAATAACCTGGGGCGTTTTTACAAAGCAGAAGGTGAAAATGAAATAAAGACACTTGGAACTCAACGAAGTCTAAGGATGAGCTCTGCCCAAAATGGGCTCTGACAAGTTTCACTATATTGAGGGCCACAGTTTGGAGTGAAGTTTTTGACAACTTTGAAGAATTTCCCTACATGCAACAGTACAGAGTGGTGGATTGTGGGTCTTGACCATAGTTTTGTCTTGTGATGCTCATTTTGATTTGGTTTCATTGTGGCAGGCAGTGGCCATTTTTGAAATCAGATGATCCGTTCTGGTGGATGGAGTCAAAGGCAGATAGTTCAGGAAAAGTTTTCTTTGCGGCACTATTGCAGACAATGGAGGGATGTTATGACTGGTCACCCAGTCAGGGTCACCAATTCGAACCTGGGTGAGGTGGGAGGAGCTGCTTCCTTTTCTTTATTCAACCCCCACTTTGTGTTGGTGGCAGCAAGATTAACGTCAAAGGATTCTTTCTATAGTGGATACCTTTCCCAATCTGAACACCTTTACCTTTTGAAAGGACTCAATTCAATCAGGCTTACTTGAGTTAAAGGAAGAGAGTGAGTTTATTAGTTGCTAAAATAAATGCAACACACAAACACGTGGATTAGAACTGAGGAGTGAAAAGGTAACAGTTAAAAAGATGCACAGATCAGTCTTTGGTTTGTCCTTGTGGAGGAGAGGATGGTATGTTATAGCTGTTCAGTTTTGGTAATTCTAATAGCATTGACTCTGGCAGTTGAGCAGTTAGTTTGGAGATTCGGGATTCTGTAGATTTGATGATAGCTGATGTCCTGTTCCTGTTTGACTCTCTGACTGGTGACTTGCTTTCAACAATCAGAAAAGGAGGGAGAGAGAGTACTTTGTCCTTTTCCCATTTATCTGCAGGCATAAGCCTGACAAGCAGATGTGGTCTTCAGCTGTAATATTTACAGTGCACTTTAACCTTGTAGCATTAAAACACCAGATTATCTCACCAGTACTACAGCACCAGATAAGGACACACACACACACACACACACACACACACACGTGCACACACACACGTGCACACACACATACCCTCAGAGGTGCAGTTAATTTTAAATCCCTTTTCCTGTCTATTCCTGCCAGGGGAAATATAGCCTTTCACTAGATTGCTTTCTATTAACTCATGCAATGTCCACCATCTGGGCATACAACTTAGAGAGGGATGGTCCAACTTTCTGCATTATATCTCTTTCTTAGAAGTGGTTCTGTGAAATTGACAGGCTTCCTGTTGCAACATTTCTCTCTCTCTGCCCCCCCACACCCCACCACCCCCCGCCACTTCTCTATCCACACGGCAATCTTCCAGGCAGTCACTGATTTACATTCTTATCTATCTCTGGCTTGTAAGTCCCTTCTTAAAAAAACACATCAAAACAATCTGTTTTATTTAAAAGTCAATATGCCCGTAAGTATTTGATGTTAAGATCTGTTGTCATGTCTGGGAATCAAGCCGAATCTTAAAATGCCAGTGCCACAGGATTGCTGAGCGTTGTAGGTGGATTGGAGGTGAGTGCAAATGGCAATGGGTAATAATATAAGTGGTACATCACCAGATAGCATTGGAGAGGGTTCAGAAGAGATTTACTAGGATTTTGCTGGAAATGGAGGGTTTAAGTTATAAAGATAGCCTGGTACTTTTATCACTGGACTGTAGGTGTCTGAGAGGTGACTTTATTGAGGTTTATAAAATCATGACGGGTATAGATAAGGTGAATGACAGGTGTCTTTTCCTTAGGGTGGGGTATTTCAAGTCTAGAGAGCATATTTTTAAGATGAGAGGAAAAAGATTTTAATAAAAGGCATGAGGAGCAATTTTTTTTTACAGACAGTGGTTCCCGTGTGGAATGAATGGCCAGATGAAATGGTGGGTGTGGGTACAGTTACAACGTTTAAAAGACATTCGGATAAGTCCATGAATAAGAAACGCTTGGAGGGATAGGGGCCAAGTGTAGGCAGGTTGGCCTAGTTTAGCTTGGGATTATGGTCGGCATGGACTGGTTGGGCTAAAGGGTCTGTTTCTGTGCTGTATGACTGCATGGCACACAAAGAGGTAATTGTGGGAGGAGAGTTTGGGCAGTGTGAGAATTTTCTGCTGGCGGGTGAAGGTGACACAGTGTCGTGCTCCTTCCCCTCACTCTGCCCAGTACAGCAGCACAGAGATAGTAGGAACTGCAGATGCTGGAGAATCCGAGACAACAAGGTGCAGAGCTGGATGAACACAGCAGGCCAAGCAGCATCTTGGGGGAAGAAAGGCTGACTTTTTGGCCTAGACCCTTCCTCAGCAGCACAGATACAGTTTAAATGTTCTCGTGGGAAAATGAATGCTGCCTGATGATGAAGTGAGGGGAATTGGGAGAGACGATGGATTAGATGTTCTGCGCTGGAGAACTAATGTCTGCACTTACCTTGTCTTTTTTTTAGGTGGTTTTGAAATCATGCAAGTTGGTGACGGGGTGAGAAATGTGCAGTGTCTGTGTAAACAAGGGATGCATTGCCCTAATAAAGACTGTGAGATCTGTGAGCATGATACGGCATGTCCTCCTGGTCAAGGAGTCAAAATTCCAGGTGAGGTGCCAGTATATCGGGTAAAATGGCCTCCAGTTTTGCTGAAGGCCTTTTGGGATTAAGGAGCTGTTATGGAACAATTTAACTCGAGAGGTTGCACCATCAGGGCAGCTACTAATGGGGAGTCGTGCTCTGTGGAAAGAGCACGTTTGATAAGTCCATACTGTCCCGGGTTTTAGTTTTACATCCTGTGATGTTGACCTTAATGTGCCAGAGAGTGGGATATCCCTGATGCTTATCGTCATACTGTCACTGAGCAGGATATCAAACAGAAGTGAGGCCTACACCTTAGGCTTCAGCCCCAGTTATTGAGCGACATGAACAGAGGCAACAGTCAGGCTCTTTCAGCCAGTGCGGCCCAGGGAATGTTAAAACCCGATCTCCTTGGCAGTCGTTTAACACACTTCACAACTTGATCGCCTCACCAGCTTAAGGAGGAGATCTTCACAATCAATTCCCAGGAGAAACACGGTGTTTATGTCTAAGCGAGTACGGCATTGGGATCCGAAAGAAGGTTTGTTCGTCCTGTTATCATGGGTTAGATTATCAGGCAAGGCCATCCATTTGGATTTCTTCTTTCTCTTTACTCCAGGATGCTGCCTCTTGTGATACAGCTCCACAGGTACCAGAAGTGTAAGCCTGGGTGATGGCATGCTGTTCAGCAATGGGGAGCATCACAGTTGGTCCTTTTCTGACTGGGAATCTTAACGGATTCCCCTCTGCCCATTACCTTGCCTACCTAACCTCAGCCATAGATACCAGCTGTCACTTGGCCTACAGGAACAGTGCAGGCCAGGCCTACATGTACCTGCTACATCCACTCACTATAGTCCTTGTGTTTTTGATTAGTTTGCAAGTCGGAAACCCTTTGACATAAAATGAGAAAGTTTGACCCCTATTTTTTTTTTTGATCAGTATCAGGCTTTGGGTAAATTTATCTTTTGAATAAGTAATTTTTGGTTTCGATATTTTATGTCAGGAGAAGCTGTTTTCGTTGACAGGAGAGTCAGTAGCTCAAGTGCACAGTTGTAGGATACATGGCTAAATAACAAGAGGTGAGCTGAGGAGAATTAATCTTACATGTTGAATTGCTATGTCCTGGAAAAGGGCGGAGGAAGTAGATTCAGTTGGAACTTCCAAAAGGAAATTGGCTATAGACTTGAAAAGGCAATAAAATAATTGTAGGATAATGGGAACTGGGCAGGGGAGTGGAACTAATTCTTCCAAAAGGAAATTAGCTATAGACTTGAAAAGGAAATAAAATAATTGCAGGGTGATGGGAACTGGAGCAGGGGAGTAGAAGTAACTTCCAAAAGGAAATTGGCTGTAGATTTGACAAGGAAATGAAATAATTAAAGTTTATGAGAAGAGTTGTAGCTCGGGTTGTGGGATGAGGTTGTAGACTTGCTCGCCGAACCAGTGTATTTGATTACAGACGTTTTGCCACCCTGCTAGGTAACATCATCAGTGCACCTCCGATGAAGCGTCGGTGTTCCATCCCGCTTGTTATTTATATGCCTCAGTTTGCTGGGGGGGTTGGTATTACTTTCGGACAGAACATTAACACTTCACTGGAGGCGCACTGACGATGTTACCTAGCGCGGTGACGAAACGTCTGCAATCAAATACATTGGCTCAGCGAGCATGTCTACAACCTCATATGAAATAATTGCATGGGGATGGGGGCAGAGCAGAGGAGAGGAACTGATTCTTCCAATGAACTAGTACCGACAGAATAGGTTGTTTGATTCTATGGATTATTGAGTCCGTTTAGATTTCTGATGTTCATGGCCTTTTGTACAGGTACTTTCACTCCAGTGCTCCATTTGAAACCTTTTAGTTAGCAAGCCAGCAAGTTAGGTGTGATGATGGTTGCTGGTTAATTGGTAATGGTGTCATTCTCTCCCATTGTTGGACTAGGTGACCGAAAATTTCAGGCAACAACTTGCGAGGATTGCGAAACTGGATTCTATTCAAATGTGACGTCTTTAACGGAACCTTGCAAGAAATGGATGGAGTAAGCACCTGGATTGACTGGAACCAGCTTTCCAAATGCCTGTTTCGGAAGAGAGAGCGCCCGTGGTAGATGGTCCAGCTCTTGCCTCCCCTCGTTGCTAGATAGCATGGTCAATTAATTAGAAACTTAGTCACACTAATGATCGGCAGGTTATGTCTGACTGCAATTGGACATGTCCATGCAGGTTTCATCATAGAGTCACTCAGCATGGAAACAGACCCTTCGGTGCAACTAGTCCACATTGACCATGTTCCCAAACTAAACTAGTCCCACCTGCCTGCGTTTGGCCCATATCCCTCCAAACCTTTCCTATTCATGTAGTTTTCCAAATGTCTTTTAAACGTTGTAACTATACCAGCATTCACCACTTCCTCTGGCAGTTCATTTCAAACACGAGCCACTCTCTGTGTAAAAGAAGTTGCCTCTCATGCCCCCTTTAAATCTTTCACCTTAAAGATGTGCCCCCTAGTTTTGAACTCCCCCACCCTAGGGAAAAGACCCTTGTTATTCACTTCATCTATGTCCCTCATTTAAAAACCTCGATAAAGTCACCCCTCAGCCACCTACCCTCCAGTGAAAAAAGTCCCAGCCTATTTTTGTAACTCAAACCCTCCATTTCTGGCAACATCCTGGTAAATCTCTTCTGAACTCTCTCCAATTTAATAATATCCTTCTTAAAGCAAGGCGACCAGAACTGCACACCGTACTCCAAAAGAGGCCTCATCAACGTGCTTGAGAATCAAAATGTGCAATTTTTATTGTGCCTGTGGGTTTTCTCCTGAATTACTGACAGTCATGTGCTGGAGATTATCTATTAATTCCTGGAGAGTTGGTGACCATGTAGTGGGATTAGTTATTGCTGCCTGGTACCTAACTATGAACCGAAGCAGTGGGTGTTAACAGCTTACATCTGGGACATTGGGTTGTCAAATGTTGGGATGTATTGGTCATTGAGGTTTGAGAGTAGATTTCTGCAAAAATAAATCCCATTAGCATGGAAAATAGTGGATCAGAGATAGTAGGAACTGCAGATGCTGGAGAATCCGAGACAACAAGGTGCAGGGCTGGATGAACACAGCAGGCCAAGCAGCATCATAGGAGCAGAGAGGCTGACGTTTCGGGCCTAGACCCTTCATCAGAAAAGGGGGAGGGGAAGGGAGTTTTGAAATAAATAGGGAGAGAGTGGGAGGCGGATAGAAGAGGGATAGAGGAGAGGATAGGTGGAGAGGAAACAAACAGGTCGAAGAGGCGGGGATGGGGCCAGGAAAGGTGAGTGTAGGTAGGGAGTTAGGAAGGGGATAGGTCAGTCCGGGGAGGACGGACAGGTCAAGGGGGCGGGATGAGGTTGGTCGGTAGGAGATGGAGGTGCGGCTTGAGGTGGGAGGAGGGGATAGGTGGGAGGAAGAACAGGTTAGGGAGGCAGGGACGAGTTGGACTGGTTTTGGGATGCGGTGGGGGGAGGGGAGATTTTGAAACTTGTGAAATCCACATTGATACCATTGGGCTGCAGGGTTCCCAAGCGGAATATGAGTTGCTGTTCCTGCAACCTTCGGGTGGCATCGTTGTGGCACTGCAGGAGGCCCAGGATGGACATGTCGTCTGAGGAATGGGAGGGGGAGTTGAAATGGTTCGCGACTGGGAGGTGCAGTTGTTTGTTGCGAACCGAGCGTAAGTGTTCTGCGAAGCGGTCCCCGAGTCTCCGCTTGGTTTCCCCGATGTAGAGGAAGCCACACCGGGTACAGCGGATGCAGTATACGACATTGGCAGATGTGCAGGTGAACATCTGCTTGATGTGGAAAGTCTTCTTGGGGCCTGGGATGGGGGTGAGGGAGGAGGTATGGGGGCAGGTGTAGCACTTCCTGCGGTTGCAGGGAAAAGTGCCGGGTGTGGTGGAGCTGGAGGGGAGTGTGGAGCGGACAAGGGAGTCACGGAGAGAGTTGTCCCTCCGGAAAGCAGATAAAGGTAGGGAGGGAAAGATGTCTTTGGTGGTGGGGTCAGATTTCAGATGGCGGAAGTGTCGGAGGATGATGCGTTGGATCCGGAGGTTGGTGGGGTGGTACGTGAGGACGAGGGGGATTCTTTTTTGGTTTTTATTGCGTGGACGGGGTGTGAGGGATGAGGTGCGGGAGATGTGGGAGACACGGTTGAGGGCGTTCTCGACCACCGAGGAGGGGAAGTTATGGTCCTTGAAAAACGAGGACAACTGAGATGTACGGGAGTGGAATGCCTCATCCTGGGAGCAGATGCGGCGGAGGCGAAAGAATTGGGAATAGGGGATAGCATTTTTGCAGGAAGGTGGGTGGGAGGAGGAGTATTCTAGGTAGCTGTGGGAGTCGGTGGGCTTGAAATGAATACCCCAGCTCGTCCCTGCCTCCCTAACCTGTTCTTCCTCCCACCTATCCCTTCCTCCCACCTCAAGCCGCACCTCCATCTCCTACCGACCAACCTCATCCCGCCCCCTTGACCTGTCCGTCCTCCCTGGACTGACCTATCCCCTTCCTAACTCCCTACCTACACTCACTTTTCCTGGCTCCATCCCCGCCTCTTCGACCTGTTTGTTTCCTCTCCACCTATCCTCTCCTCTATCCCTCTTCTATCCACCTCCCACTCTCTCCCTATTTATTTTAAAACCCCCTTCCCCTCCTCCTTTTCTGATGAAGGGTCTAGGCCCGAAACGTCAGCCTCTCTGCTCCTATGATGCTGCTTGAGCATGGGAAATAGTGTTGGGTAATGAGGTTAACAGCTAATTTTAAAATGTGAGAGGGAGTAGGATTTCTCTGGTCTATTCTTTTGTTCAAGTACATTTTAAAATTTGATGACATGGCCATTGTAAAAGTTTGGTGTCTACCAAGCAATGATAATTTGACCCCCAGGTCTTGCTTCCTCTACTGGTTAAAAAAATGCCTGGTACATGTGAGCTGAAGAGGAGCCAAAAGTAGAATGGATTGTGATCCAGGAAAATCATAGAATCCTACAATGTGAAAGCAGGCCATTCAGTCCACACCAACTCTCTGAAGAGCATCCCATCCCCCACCATACCCCTGTAATCCGCGGTTCTTTCGGTTTTTATTTTGTACTTAACGCATTGCCACATGTCTTCTAGGCATGCCCACCTTGAAGAAATTCTGCTCTTCACTCCGACAGTTCTGAGGAAAGGTTCCCGACCCAAAATCTTAACTCTGACTTTTCTTCACAGATGCTGCCAGACCTGCTGAGCTTTTCCAGCAACTTCTGTTTTTGTTCCTGTTAACCTTGCATTTCCTAGGGCTTAACTTGCCTAGCCTGCACATCTCAGGATACTATGGGCAATTTAGCATGGCCAATCCACCTGCACAATTTTTGGACTGTGGGATGAAACCGGAGTAAAACCCATGTTGGCCCAGGGAGAGAATGTGCAGACTTTACACAAACAGGTGCCCAATGCTGGAACTGAACTTAGGTCCTTGCTGCTGTAAGGCATCACTGCTAACCACTGAGCCACCGTGCTGCCCGAAAAGGACAAGCTTCTCTTAAATTTCATGTTGAAAGTAACTACAGACACACCCTACCCACTGCACTCCTTTCTCTTTTGCACATGATCTTTCTCACAAATGCACAGGCACATGTGCGTACGCACCCATATATGAGAAGTACATTTATATCTATATGCACATACTGCGCACATTGCCCGTCCATCCCTAACAGAAAAACACAAAGGATAAACACTAATTGTGATCCTAACAAGTATCTCTTATGATTGGTTATTATCTAAACTTAATTGATACTGAAACAATGCCTTTTTTTGCTTATTTGCTTCTGGCTTACAGTGCTGAGTGATCGGGACTGTGTATGCATGTGTGCACTTGTATATGTATACTTGTGCACATGTGAATGTGTCTATGTCTGCATACTCGCTTGTGTCAATGTGTATGTGCTTGTATCCATATGTTTGTATGCGTCTAATAAATTGTGTGTGCAATCGATAGCGTGGGTAGTTGGAGTCTTCTTCCCTGGGTAGAAAATGTCAGTTACTAAGGGGCATAGGTTTAAGGTGAGACAGGGAAAATTTAAAGGAGATGTACGAGGCAAGCTTTTTACACAATGGTGGTAGGTTCTATGTTTTATATGTATGTGCGTGTATGTCTATGTGTGGACTGCATAGTGTTTTAGCTATTGTATTGTTAAATCTTGCAGTATTATTGGTTATTAAATTATTATATATTAGTTAGTATTTTTTAAATCTGGAGCAAGGCAGCAATCCCTGAATGTGTATGTGTGTGTATTCTAGTATAATTATATATAGATATATGCATGTGTATATATGCATGTGTATGTATACATGTGTGTATATGCCTGTGTGTGCATGTCCACATGTTCAGATGTTCAGATGTTTAAATGTACATGTGCATATCTACTTGTGTGCATTTGTATTTAAACTTGTCTGTGTATGTGTTTTATATATGTGTGTGCGTCGGGGTTTGGTGTTGGGGTATGCCAAAATATGGCCTGTATAGTGTTTATCTATCTTATTACAAAATCTTGAAGAGTTATCACTTGTTAAATTATATTAGAATAAGCAAAATGAGCTAATGGTGCCACACCCAGCCATGCATCTGAGCGACCTTGTGATATTCTCATCGCAAAGGTCTGCAGGAACAGAGAACCAAAATGTATCTGAGGACAACAATGTACAGGAGCTTAGTTAAAATCATTGTGGAGCTGGAGGAACACAGCAGGCCAGGCAGCATCGGAGGAGCAGGAAAGTTGACCCTTCAAAGGGTCCCGACCCGAAACGTCAGCTTTTCTGCCTGGCCTGCTGTGTTCCTCCAGCTCCACACCGTGTTATCTCTGATTCCAGCATCGGCAGTTCCTACTATCTCCTAGTTAAAATCATTGCCTTTTCTTATGGAAGTTTCTGGCAGTTGTGCTTTGCTGCCATCTTCAGGGCAATGTAGTTCCAGTGTCACAGCAGCAAGAGCTGTCTGGAGTCGCGGGCAGTACAACACAACCCACCATTTCCTCTTAAAACTGTTTACTGGTCACAAAGCATAACAATCTCCCCTGAAATGGCCTTTCACCCGCATTACACCCACTGCAAGCAAAGCCATGCTAAGAAACTTGGACATCTCAATGAATTCCTGCTGTGTGCATTACATAATCAAAACATACCAGCAGTTTCAAAAACATGACTGAGAATGTATGTTTTTGAGAATGCTGTCTGCAGACTAAGCAACATTAGTCAATTTCTCACAGTATTGCAACATGATGGGCCCTTTAGCAGAGCTGGGGTTAGAAAAATGCAGGGGAAATAAAACTACATGTCAGATGTGCATAAGTAAATTCTTATAATGAAATATTTTATTATTTTTATGTGCAACTTTGACTTAAGATCATAATTCAGTAAACCTCATGGCAGTTTTCAAGTGGGTTAGGTTGTAAAACAAGAGCTTCTGTGCAGTGGACTCTGTAGAGACTCAAAATTGAAGCAAATTGGCACCCCTGCTGACAGGAGAGTGTAATTACAGTGTGACATGTTTACATAGTCAGTTTCCAATGTAAGTGTATCAGTGAGGCTTTTATAATGGGAAGGTGGGCACTAGTGGCAGAAATTGAAGCTTTCGAGACACAGATTGTAACAGGGTATACTATTTTTAACATATTACTGTTGTTTGGCTGCAAGAAGTAAACCTTTGGTACTCAAACAAAAGTGGTTAAATTCCGAATTGTATACTTCAAGCTGACTTTCCACTTCAATAACACTGTTAAACAGGAATATTGTTGATTGATGCCTTTGCGGGGTTGAGAACTGGCTGTGAGTGTGGCTGTGAGATTCTCATCATTTCTGTTTAGGCTCAGCTGCATGGCTGGGTGTTGTACAGAGTTACATTGAGGTAGAAGTTTGTGGATTTGAGGTATTGTTTATTTGTGCTGGGTTCCCTCACCTCAACTGATCTCTGTGACCTCAGGCTGCTAGTGATTGCTAATCAGGAACCTTTGCTTAAAAGTGCGTAGGGTGCAGATGTTGGGTAAGAATGAAGCTGTATTTAGCCATATCTTCCATGTAGGGCAGACGTCTGGCATGCACCATTTCAGGTGCCACATGAGGGATGGGCACCAGGAGAGGCATTGCAGATTTGTGAAGGGCTTGAATTAGTTTCAGTTATGAAAGGGTTAAATTTTCAGACCTACGTTAAAAACAAATGGGAACCACAGATGTGCAAAGATAACATAGCTCCTTCACTTCTATCAGTAAGATAGAGTCATACAGCACGGAAACAGACCCCTCGGTCCAACCCAGTCCATGCTGACCATAATCCCAAATTAAACTAGTCTCATTTGCCCGCACTTAGCCCATATTCCTCCAAATATTTCTTATTCATGTCCTTATCTAAATATCTTTTAAACATTATAACTGTACTCGCATCCACCACTTCCACACGAGCTACTCTCTGTGTAAAACAAAATTGCTCCTTATGTCTTTTATAAATCTTTCTCCTGTCACTGTAAAAATGTGTCCTCTAGTGTTGAAATCTCCCATCCTGGGATTAGACGCCTGCCAATCACCTTACCTATACCCCCTCATGATTTTATAAACTATAAAAGTTGCTTCCCAATCTCCTATGCTCCTGTGAAAAAAGTCCCAGCCCATCCAGCCTCTCCTTTTAACTCAAACCCTCCATTTCTAGCAACACCCTAGTACATCTCTTCTGAACCCTCTCCAGCTTAATAATATTCTTAATAATAATATCCTTGGATGAAATACATACAATGCCTGTGAGCACTGTGGGATAACAGTGGATAATATAAGGCACATGGACAAAGAAATGTGGGAATTGCAATATGTATATTGTAATATTTTGTATGAAGCTGGGGAATGCACTTGAGTTAGTTCTACACTTCACAGTAATAAGGCTGGCTGTCCATGTGTACATATGAAAATAAATGATGGTTAGAACTGAGTCATGACACCTCTTATCAGTTTGTCGAGTTGTCCAATAGCACCAGGAGAATGATACCTTGTGACTCTGATACCTTACTCCTGTTCCAACCATTTAGTTTGTCTCTAGCACCATCATATTTTTGATTATTTGTAATTATCTCTCGGCCTTAATTAATTATTTCATAGATCATTCCTTCACTTGTGATTCAGCTGATGAAGCTCCACTCACACCATTTGTACTATCTTTTGACGCTGTTAATCATCTGGAATTACCTTGCAATGATCTCTCCGCTTTTATATTCCGTGCTTTTGTGCTTCCCTCCACTTCACCTGATGAAAGAGGAGCGCTCCGAGAGCTTGTGTTTTCAAATAAACCTGTTGGTCTATAACCTGGTGTTGTGTGACCTCAGACCTTGTCTACCCCAGTCCAACACCGGCAGCTCCACATCACACCTTGGTCTGAGGAGAAGGGAATGGCGTTGAAAAAAAGACGAAGTGCTGGCAGCTGAGTCTGATCCAGTCCTTTCCAGATGTTCATGTTTGCATGCTCCTTGCTAGCTATCAGCAGCTCTGACTGGATGTCCCCCTCTCCTGAGCCAGCAGTGCTAAGACCTCATGTAACTTCCCACCTCCATATCAATCAAAGATTCAGAAGGTGTCGAGTTGGGATTGATTCTGCAGATTGCAGAGTTTATTCTCGGGGTGGGGATGGGGAGGTTTGTTTGGGGAGTTTCTGTTGTTGCTAATGGCTATCGCTTTCTTTTTAGCTGCTCATCATTCAGTCTGATAGAAGTCAGAGCAGGCACCACACAGAGCGATGTTGAATGCGGTGAGTCCTCTTCACCACCTGCTGCTTGCTGTATGGATGACCTGAAATCCCTCAATTTAAATAAAATTCATTTAGTAGGTTTGTAAATGGGATCTTCTCTCTGGGTTTCCAAATGCCCATCTTTTGTGTGTCAAACTGAGAGTGCAGAACCCAGGGAAAACTCCCTATCCATTCCCAGGATGAGGAGGTTATCCTATGAGGAACGGTTGGGCTCATATTCATTGGAGTTTAGAAGAACGAGAGGTGATCTCGTGGAAATGTATGAGATCCTGAGTAGTCTGGATAAGGTGGGATGTTTCCTTTTGTGGGAGTGACTGAAACTAAGGGACACAATTTGAGAGAGAGGGGGCGACGGAGATTGGGGCGAAATTTTTTTTCTCTTCAAGGGTTGTTACTTTGGGGAATTCTCTGGCCCCCCCCGAAAGTAGTGGAGGTTGGAGCACTTTATTCAAGGCTGAGTTAGATCTTTGGTGGAGAGGGGAATCAAAGGGAGAAGGGTGCAGGCAGGAAAGTGGGTTTGAGACCACAATTAAATCAGCCATAATCTTACCGAATGGTATAGCAAACCCAAAGAAACAAATGACATATTCCTGCTTAGCCCAGAATTCCAATTGCTGCTCCTACAATGTGGAACTGATTCCGGGGCTGGGAAGAGTGATTCTTCATGTTGATCTGGGAAGGTTGAGATAAGGATCTTAAACATTCACTCCCTCCATCAGGGTGGCATGGTGGCTCAGTGGTCAGCACCGCTGCCTCTCAGCACCAAGGACCCGGGTTCAATTCCACCCTCAGGCAACGGTCTGGAGTTTGCACATTCTCCCCATGTCTGCGTGGGTTTCCTCTGGGTGCTCCGGTTTCCTCCCACAGTCCAAAGATGTGTAGGTTTGATGGATCGGCCATGCTAAATTGCCCATAGTGTCCAAGGATGTGTTGGTGGGTGGGTTAGCCATGGGAAATGCAGAGTTGCAGGGATAGAGTAAGGGTGTGGGTGTGGGTGTGGGTGGGGTGCTCTTTGGAGGGTCAGAATGGACTTGATGAGCAGAATGGCTTGCTTTCACACTGCAGGGATTCTGTGATCACTGAAGCACAGTGGCAGCAATGTGAGCCATCTACAAGATGCACTGCAGCAGCTTAGTAAAGCTCCTTCAACCTGTGACCACCACCATTTAGAAGGACAAGAGCGGTAGATACATGGACCACCAGGCCTGCAAATTCCATTCCAAACCATTTGCCATCCTGACTTGGAAATATATCACTATTCCTTCACTGTCGCTAGGTCAAAAATCTTTGCTCTCCCTTCCTATCAGCATTGTTAGGCTGCCTGCGCCCCTAGACTGTATTGGTTTAAGAGGAAGACCTCTCAAGCAGTACAAGGAAGGGGCTGACAATCTAATTCTGTAGCTATGTCTTTTACAGCTGGGTCCAGTTGGGGTTCTGGTCAATGACATCAATCTGGGAGCATTTAAAAAATCATTAAATTAAAGAAATATTAAATCCATTTACATTGACCTTTCATTTCAGGTATCCCATACCAGAGCAATGAATCCTACAAAGTTGCAATTGGCTTTTTGGCTGTGCTGCTTATCTTGTGCATAGCTTTATTTATCTGCAGCAGGCTGGGTAAGTTTTCAATTTTGATAGTTACACTGAATGTTGTGGGGGCTTTACAATAGATTTGGCTTAGCCAGGTATTTAACAAAAGCTGCAATATAGATTATCCGACACACTGCTTCAAGCTGCTGGTTAACTAACTTTATCGATTTTTAGACTAGATTAGATCTTGACTCAAAAATCTGGAAATTACTATAGAAAAGTGAACCAGAGATCGAAATGCTTTAAAATAATAGCTTGGCTAAATTATTCACTGTGTCACAGTGAGATTCTAAGTCAGTATTCCAGAGGAAGAGACTTGAGGCTTGATCCTAGCTAATATAAACCTTCCCTAACTTATTAAAACATTTATACCTACTTGTACTTCCCAGTTTGCAAATCCTTAATTCTTGTTACTGGCATTTATGTCACACTTTTGTGGCAATCCCTGTATTTGCATATACAATGGAAATTGCTTAATTTAAACTTGTCACATTGTAATTGCAACCTCCCACCAGTAGTGATGCTGTGGTGCTTCAGTTTAGGGTGTCCAATTCCTTACCCCATACTGCAGGGATATCTTCTATTCCAACTCACACATTGTTTGGTCAAAGTGGACCAAGTTTTAGTGACAAAGCATACGTAATATTACCTCTCCTAAACGCAGAAAGTAAAAACAGCTTGGGTTGAAATTGCCCCCAAGATATTATGTAAAACTAAAGAGGGAATCAATGCTTTTATAGAAGAATTGGATGTGTTCAAGTTAGATTTCTTTCCAGCTCATTGAAGAATCTTGCATTTGAATGCCATGGTCCAAATAAGTCAGATTTGTGTAAAGGCCTTCTAATGTAGTGAAACATCCCAAGCTGCTTTGCAGGAGTAGCAACATTATAGCAAGGAGGTAGTCCTGGGTTATTGAATCCAGGACTATAAAATTGATGATGGAATTTATCAGCCAGTCAGTTAAAAGGTAGCTTGACGCTGGAAACGCTGTTCCGAAAGGCCCATTGGATAACAGTCTTCGCTGGAAGATTTCTTTGGATTACCAAAGTAAAGTGGAATTCCCCCTAGTATTGCAGATAGTTGTTCATCCCTCACCTGAACTGTCCTGCTCAGCCCAGGATGAACATCACTGGCTTGGGAGAGAGAATGGATATCTCCACTATCTAGGATGAGCCAAAATGAGGGACTGTGTATGTTTTTGCCTGAGGATCCGTAGATTATGGATGACCTGAGGAAGATTATTCTGAGAGGGGTTGGGACGGAGGAACCACTTTTTCTCCCGGTCGCGTAATTTAGATCGAGAAAGAATTTGTAAACATGTCAACTTGGGAAGAAGTCAAAAGGAAAAGAATTCAGTCACTCAGAGGGTGTCAGGATACTTATATCCCAGTAACAGGCATGTCCTTTTCCACAGGTTATCTGGATCAAGTTTTTGATTTCATTCAAAGAAAGGTCGGTGTCTTCCGTTACTTCATAGATTCATAGAATCCCTACAGTGTGGAACCAGGCCCTTCGGCCCAACAAGTCCACACTGATCCACAGAACATCCCACCCAGACCCATCCCAATAATCTACACATCCCTGAACACTATGGGCAATTTAGCATGGCCACTCCACCTAGCCTGCACACCTTTGGACTGTGGGAGGAAACTGGAGCACCTGGAGGAAACCCACGCAGACACAGGGAGAATGTGCAAACTCCACTCACAGTTGCCTGAGGCTGGAATCAAACCCAGGTCCCTGGCGCTGTGAGGCAGCAGTGCTAACCACTGAGCCATCGTGCTGCTGAAATGGTTAAGAGTGAGCTGGTGAGGGCCTCAGCCTTCTCAGTAAGCTGAATTTTACTTATCAGTTGATGCCGCTAGAGGCAGCAGAGCTAGAGTTCCATTGCTTTTTGAGTGGCTTGCGAGGTTTTGTGGAAACTCGGCCTGTTTGAGTCTGTCGGGGCCTTAAACCCCAAATGGAATAACACCAAACATCGGAGGTTTGAGCCTTGGCGGTCCATCCAGGACATTCCCAATCCGTTGGGAGCAGTCAGAATCCCGTTTCATTCCGCGATATTGCCAAACCATTCCGGAGGGGGAGGGAGTGTAGCAATTTCAACATGTCCGGGATGTTTCCAAGCATTGCAACGTTCCTGCAATGCCAGTGTGTCCAGGTCATTTGAGGATTGCACCACCATCTCGGATGCAGTGGCAAACGACAGCTCCTCATGTATCAGATGCACTGCAGGGTTAAATGATTCCTTGAATGTTGTGGAATCTCCCTGCAATGCTGATTCTGCAGCAGAAGTTGTCCATTGTCTATACAATGTCTCAAGGAGGCCCTTTCTATGTACCTTTTTTTTTTCAGAAGGAGAATGACCCTGAGCGGGTCGCCCAGGAAACTCATCCGGGTGATCCAATTCACAGCCCAGAGATGGAGCAAGGAGGGAGCATTAGCATGCACGCGGCAGTCCAGGAAGTAGGCAAGGACAGCCGCCCCTCGGAGGAGGAAGGGCAGACCCTGCTTAACACATCAGACACCTCCTATGTGTATGGGGCTAGTGCCAATGGGAATGCAGGGAGAGTATGCGTGGACTGAGGAACAGCGGTGTTGTGAGTCGGAACCTGAAACCAACAAATCCAGGATTCAAAGACTTGACCTTGGATTCCTACAGAACTTGCTTCAAGACTGCATACCGTATAACGGTCTCATTCTGCATTCACAGCATTTTTTTCTAAATCCTTGTAATCTTGACCTCTATGCGTGATAAGTCACCAGAAGGGTTACTTGCTGGAACAGTACAACGAAGGACACCAATACTGTTATCAGTGACCACTGTACAGATGGGTCACTCTTAAAACAGATCGGATTGTGATGTTTCTTGGTTCTGTCTTTGGTGTCCATAACTGGTGAATCTTGCATAAAGGGTGCTGTTACGTTTGTCAGAACTTGGGTGCATTAGGTGCAGAAACCTAGCAATGGTACTCAGCTGAGGGCTTTATCATCAATGCCCAACAAATCCCATATGGAAGTTAATCTGGTGTGGTTGCTAGGCAGAATATGCTTTGGCTTGGAATCCCACCATCCCCTCACCTCCCAGCACTTGTTACTTGTTCACTCCCATCGATCTGGATTGTGGCTCGAGAGTGGGCAGCATCTGCCAGGAGATTTTGCATCGCTGAGACACCAGCGAAAGTGCCAGTGAGGGAGGGCTACTAGAGAGGCTCCAGTGCAGGGCTGCCAGTGCATGAGAGGCACAGAGAGCTCATGGGGCCACAGAAGTAGAGAACTAAATGGAACTGTACCCTAACAGGAATTGTCTCTGTCAGGAAAAGGAGTGAGATTAAATAGACGATAATGATAACAAGAATGTAATCCCGGCCCGGGGTTTCAGGTGGCAATGAAACCAGCTGAGCTTCACAATCGCTCTTGATAAAAATCGTCAGAAACTACAATATTTGCTCTTACTGATCCAAATATGCACAGCACAACTCCATAGCTGATTGGGTGATCAGTGACAGCCTGATTCTGTTACCTTTCATTGAGGATTTTTTTTTGCTGGTTTAGTCAACAAAGTTCCCTGTGTTAATGAGTCAGACCTGATGATATTAGCAGTAAATGCCATGATTATGCAATTTTATCTTGTTTCACTGGGGGGATGCATCAGTGGATTGTACAGTAAACCAAGTGGATAGTTGGGAATTTGGTGCAATTGGGAATTTGGTGCAGAGTGGAAAGAGGCCTTTTCCAGTATTGGATGTAGAAAAACATTTCCACGACACTATTTCAGAAAAAGAACGGGGAGTTACCTGTGGTATTGTGCCTGATATTTATCCCTCTTGTCAACATCACAAAAGTAGCTAATCCAGTTGTTATTGTGTACGTTGTTTTGGAGCTTGTGTGTAAATTGGCTGCTACATTTCCGACATTATGGCAGTGACTGTGGGTGGAGTGTTATAGTGGTCTAAACGATGTGAGCTATGGTAAGTTTTGTGGGAAAATCAGACAAGATGTCCATCCAGGACTATCTCAATGTCTAGAGTTCCTCACTGCGTATCTTATGCTTTTGCCGAGTAACGTGGTGAGTTTCACACTAGTAGCAGGGAGTTGCCGATTAAGAGGGGTTATTGGTTGTTAGGTGCCTCATTAATGCCACAAATTGCATTACTAATATTCAGTTTCCTACCTTACTAAACGTGTTAAACAAGCTTAACTTCGAGAATTCTCGACATGGAAGTCAGAGTGGGTACCTGGGGACTTAAGCTTATCAATTGAATTCTGAAGGACCTGTAGGTTCGACACCAGCCTCCAACATCACAGGATACGGTTGTGGGGTAGGAATGAACTGTTCTGTGAAGATAGATTTCCTTTAAGCTGAGCTGTCACCAGTATTCTAGTGAGTAGGCTTAGCTCAGCTGGGAGGGAGATTACAGATAGTGGTCATTGTATGAGTCTGAAGAGAAAAGTTGAGACGATGAAGCAAAGTAGCAATTTGGGTAAAATCAAGCAGATAATGTCAGGAGGGGACAGAGAGCATATTAATTTTAATAGAGCATTAGTGACTCCAGTCATGTCAAGGAAAAATAGTAAATCATTCATAGTAAAGGTGCTTTACCAGACTATCTGGAGTGTTCTTAATAAGTTAGATAAATGAATGGCATGAATAGAGGTAAATGGTTTGATCTAATAGCTGTTACTGAAACATTCATGTGTGACCAAGATTGGGAACAGAACATTTGGAGTATGTGACTTCTTTTGGAAAAGATGGGCAAAATGAAAGAAGTGGTAGGCAGCTCCAATAATGAAGGATATGGTAAAGGCAACAGGAGAAACTAATTTATCCTGGAAAATCAGGATGTAGCATTTGTATGTTTGCAATTAAGAAATAATGGAGCGTAGACAACATTGAGTAGTTTACGATGATCTAACAGTAATCATATTGTTGACAGAGTATAGATTTGGAATTTAGAAGAGCATGGAGCAAGATGAGTGCAGTAATTATGAGGAACTTCAATTTTTATATAAACTGGAAGAACCTCTAGGCAAGAGTGATCATAATCTGAAAGAGTTTCCTATTGAGTTTGATTGTGATGTGATCAAGTCCATAACTAGGGTCTACAGCAATGCCTTAGATGAAGGAACCAAGAATAATGTTTGCTGATGCTGCAAAGCGAGGAGGGCAAGTCAACGCTGAAGGAGATGTAAAGAAACTGTGAAAAGATATGGATAGTTTACATGAATAGGCAGGAAAATGGTCAACTTTGAAAGTGAGAATGAAAAAGCAGAATATTTTTTTCAAAACTGAGAAGCTAGTAAATGCACTGTTCAGAAGAGTTTGTGGCTTCTTACATGAAACACTGAAAGTTAATATGCAAGTGTAGCCAGTAATGACTTTAAAAGGAAGGAAGTTTTGGTGGAGTTGTATAGGACTTTGTTGAGACTGCACCTGGAGTGTTGTGTACAGTTTTAGTCTCCCTTCCTTAGGCAGGAATTACTTGTCTCAGAGAATGTACTAGAATGATCCCTGGGATGAAAGGGCTGAACTATACAGTGAGATTGAGTAGATTAGGAACAGAGGATTTAGGAGTGGGAATAGGCCATTCAGCCCCTCAAACCTGCTCTACCATTCAATAAGATCATGGCTAATCTGTTTGTGGCCTCAGATTCGTATTCCATCTGCTCTACATAACCCTTGACACTCCTTGTTTGTCAAGAACCTATTTAACTTGGCCTTGAATAAATTCAGTAACTTGGTCTTCCCAGCTTTCTTGGGAAGAGAATTCCACAGACTAACGACTATGTCTCCTCTCCGATCCTTGCTCTAATTTCTCTTCTCTGGTGTGTGGACCTCTGAGGTCTCAGTGGAGCAGCCTCTTGTGAAATTGCAAGTTATTTCGAATGGCTTATTCCTGCTCCAACTTCTTGTGTTCTTATTGAGAGTTTTGAATAATGTAAAAGTCAGCCATTATAACACTAGTGAATTCTTGGATCATTTAGAAGGTGGGTACAGTGTTTAGCTGCTGACCTGACCTGTCCCTTCAAGAGCATAGTTGAACATCAGATAATTGTAGATAATGTGTACATTTCAGATTGCAGTTCAGCAACCGCTCTCATTGTTTCTTTTGACTAAGACAGTTTCTAATTTATGTCAACAAAGTGATGTCTGGAGGGTAAGTGTGTACAAACATGAACTTATGTATATGTTACAAATAAACTTTCTGTGGTACTGTTTCATCAGGATGAAAGAAATATGTCAAGTAATGTACATTTATAATTCTGGTGCAAAAGTGTACGTGCCCTGCCCCTTTAAGACTACAATGGGTAGCTGCTCAGCATTTTGTATGTATTTTTAAAATTAATGCCTGGGTCACTCATGTTAAACTGGAATACTATCAAGCGTCTCTTAAACAATTACCATCAGTCTGTGTTATACTTCAGGAGTAGCTCAAATCTCTTCTTTGTAAAGGGGGCAAAAAATTAGAACTCTAACTGAATTATCAGAAAAAAAAATCTACCAGTTAAAGAAAGGCAAAAACTGAGCCAATTGACTCACTCAATATGTGACACCAGTTTAATTGGGAGTATTTACTTTAAATGTCCACTTCCTCCACCACTGACCTTCAGTAACAGCAGCGTGTACAATCTACAAGATACAATGCAAGGCTCCTTAGGTACCATCTTTCAAGTCCACCTGCAAATTCCGCTCCAAGCCCACTGACCATCCTGACTTGGAAATATATTGCCATTCCTTCATTGTCACTGGGTCAAAATCCTGGAATGTCCTTCTTGACAGCACGGAGGCTGTACTAGCATGAGATGAACTGGAACAATCCAAGAAAGGGCCTGGTCACCATTTTCTTGAGGGCACTTAAGGATGGGCAACAGATGTTCACCTTGAATCACACCCACGTCCCATGAAATAAAAACAGAAGGCACTACAGAAACTCAGCAGAGGTCTGTGGAGAGAGGAAATGAGTTAACATTTCAAGTCCCATTTTAGTTTCGGTGGAACAGTCGTATTCAATTCTCTTGATATTAACCAAAAGTAGATTGTGCAGCCCATCAGCATGTGGAGTCTCCCTGACACTCAGTAACCAAGCCTCCCGTCGAGGGGTGAGCACGACCACTGTCTTATGAATATCTTGGGAGAGAAGAAGGCAAAGGTTGTAAACCCTGACTTGGCCTCTGGGGGCTCTGTTCCAGAATTGTTGACTGATGTCTAACTATGTCATCTTTCTGCTAACTTTGCTGCCAAATGTGGTGCTTTACACTTCTTTAGACTCAACCAATGAGGTTGATTGGGAGCCCATGGAATTTAGGATCTCTGTAAATTTCCCTGAGATTGTGCCCTCGAGAGAGAACTCCAGTTTTGCTGTATGGCATTAACATTCCACAGGAAACCGAGTGGACAACCACTGTCCAAGCCATCATCTTACCAGTTGGAAGGCTACAACCCATAAGCCTATGTCTCTGTGTCATATGTTTGATGTCTTCAAAATGCTGTTACTAACTATTTGATTGTTCTAGGGATCATTACGTAAAGACAAGTGCCTTGCATCTTCTCCTAAATGTTTAAAAATACTTTTTTCCCAGGCCAGAGTCCACCCATTCAATTCAAGCAACAACTTTTTTATGTCTGTCTATGGTTGGAACTTGATTTCAATACAGAAGAAAAAATTTTCAAAATCTTTTGTTGCCGTCTTCATTCAGAGGACTTTGAATGTCTGCTTGAAACCAGAACAGAGAAAGTTAAGACCACAAGACACCACAGAAGGCTAGCATTCAGTTGCTATGAAAGGTGTAGGGAGGTTATAATAATGAATTTTCCCTGAAACGTTAATGCAAATGACTTAACCCTTTTAAAACATTCCTGTATTCCATTGAGAGATATTTGTCTGTACATTGCTGTAAATTTGCTGTTTATCTTTGCTGCTGTTCACTTGACTATTTAAGCAGTTTTGACAGTTTTATATATTAACCTGCGGTCTGGCTGAATGTTTATTGTACTTCTTTGTGAAGTTAGTGTTTTTCTTATGTTAAAAGGTGTAAAGGTGTTGTGTTTCAGATGCAATTTGACTGATCAAACTATCAGATTTGAAGCAAAAGACACTTTATTCATACACTATAGTTAAAATCATAGAATCCCAACACTGTGGAAACAGGCCCTTCGGCCCAACAAGTTCATACCGACCCTTAGAGCATCCCACCCAGACCCATCCCCTTATAACACCAAAGCCACACATCTCCTGAACAATTTGGCATGGCTAATCCACCTAACCTGCATAACTTTGGACTGTGGGAGGAAACCCACGCAGACACATGGAGAATGTGCAAACTCCACACAGACATTCGCCCAAGGTTGGAATCGGACCTGGGTCCCTGACACTGTGAGGCAGCAGTGCTAACCACTGAGCCACCGTGCCACCCTAAACAATAAAATACCACAAAAGATTTGGTTTAGCTGTAACCCTATTGGAGAACTTAACGGAATAATAGATTATTGTACTGCTAAACAGTAACTGTTCCAATATAGTAACATCCCATAAACACACCATTGGCAGAAGGCAAATTCAGTAAAAACAGATTGTCTCACATGTAACTCCAGCAGCAGGAACAGAACTCCCAGCTTTTAGCTGTAACCAAGAGAGGGAAAAAAAAGCTTTCATATCTTCAAGACCCTAGGAGTAACTGCTTCTGAGAAACTTAAAAAAAAACCCCTAGAAATCCTGGTTCTATGGGAGCTTGACCACACCCATTCAGGCTGCTTCTATTGTTCTAACTTAAAAAATGCAAGCTGTTTACGCTAATAGCTCTGCCCTGAAACCACTCTTCCAAAAAAAAACCCTAGGGCAAAATACATCTCTTAAAGCCATAGTATCATCACATCAGCAGGGGTAATTTTAACCAAATCCACGCATCAGGGAAGTGGATTTGATTGGATAGGATGATGGCTGTATCACTCAACATTGCAGTCAGTGAAGAGTAGTATCGATGGAAAACAAAAATTTCACCTGATCCCATAACTTTGCTGTCTGAACACTTTGGTAACAATAACCTTTGTACAAGTGATACACTGCTACACTAACACAACTGGCATGGGTAGGTTCACCTTCATCACTGGGCTTGTCATAAATACCCTGATGTTGGGTATGTAAAGGCACAGTCTGGTCTACAGCAATCAAGGGTTTGCTGAAAAGGCACTGAGCTGGAAGAAAGTAATGGAGGCAGATGGACACAAAACATAAAAGTAAAGCTCTCTCACTTTGAGCCAAGGGAATACAATCATTCATCAACTACTTCCAACTTAGAGCTGGAAACCTGAAGTAATGAAGTAACTGTAAATGTTCCTGTTTACACATAGACATTTATCTAAGATTTGTTCTTGAATCAAATATTCTTCCATTTGTTCCTCCTCCAAGTCTGAACCCTTTAAAAATGTTGTTTTTACTTTCTATTATAATTTTCAGGATCCCTAATGACTCATTGTGGTTCTAAAATTATTGCAATCCATTGCTTTAAGATTCCTGGGTAACAGCAATAATGAATAGTACAAGTCATTTAGAATAGATGCTTTAGTATCTATTGGCTCACAAATTTTGGGTTTCACCACCTCTAATTCTGTTTTTCCAAAGGTTTTTAGATGTACTGTTGTTACTGCACCTACGCCTGGAGTTTTTCCAGTACTCAATTTCAAAGCATTCTTTACCTCGATGTTACAATGTTTCATCGATTGATATGGCTGTATTATCTCAAGGGCTCCTACAGTTTGTGCCATTGTATGCATTCCATCCATCTTTTTGCTGCCGCACCCTTTCAAACAGTATTTCTTTCTTTCCGTCTGTTGAAGATGGCACTTTCTGGTGTTTGACTCTCAGGTGGTGATTCATTTGATCAGAGCTGAAAAGCTAGAGTACTCGCTTCTACAGGCAAAGTGGAGGCAGGAAGATGATGACACATGTCACAGCAGGATGTAGACGTGTTTCAATGGCTGTGGGATGATGGCACAGACAGACCGATGAGTGTCACATATTAGGAATAAATGAGGGGAGATGGTAATATCACTGACTAGTGATATAATGCCCCTGCTAAAGTAAAGGCAAAATGCTACAAATACTGGAAATCTGAAACAAACACGGATAATATTTGGAGAAATGTAGCAGGTATGGCAGCAGCTGTCGAGAGAGAGAAATGAAAGGTAATGTTTTGAGATAGGTATGATTCCTCTTCAATACCCTGGGTTGGGAACCCACCTTGGCAGCTGGTGGAATTTCAAATCAATCACTCTGATCTGGAGTTGGGGTGACGGATGATGGCCTGGTAACATTACTGGCCTAGCAATTCAGAACGTGAGGCTGAGGACATGGGTTCAAATCCCGCCATGGCGATGGTGGAATTTGAATTCAATAAAACCTGGAATTGGAAGCTAGACTCACAAATGGTGATTGTCATAAAAGCCCCAGTTAGTTCACTTAAACCCCTTTGGGGAAAGGAATCTACTGTCCTTACCTGGTATGACCTGCATGTGACTTTAGGCTCGACTGCTCTGTGAAACAGCCTGGGAAGCTACTCAGCAGTTAGGGCCAGACTAAAGTGACACCTATTATCATAAAAGAATTTAAAAATTGGAGCTGCACTATATTGTGACATTTAAAGTGGAACAATGCCCTTACTCTTACCAAACAGCACTAACTTTCCATAAATAATGAGGACCTCCTTTGAACAAACTGGTTGGTCTTTGAGTGCTGTCTTTTATCATAATGTCTGCTCTTTCTCCCAGCACAGGGGAAACATATGAAAACCAGTTTGGGACATTAGGAATGAGACGTGGCTAATCCTCAAGTTTTCCTGTCATTTCATTCTGTGCAGGAAGTTAATTTTCCTGCCTTCGTGCCATATCCAATTTATCAAACTCAACATTGAAAGCTTCAGTTGTCAGATGTTTTGGAGGGAGCGCTGTCTAGATTTCATTGATCCTTTTATTGATTTCATTATTCAAAGGCCAAGTTCTGACTTTAAAGTTACGCCCTTGATATCTGCATCAGATGAAATAGATTCTTAACTTCTATCCCTGGCATTGCTCACTGCTGATCCAGGCCCAGGACTGTACTTGTGTTATAATACCTCACAGCTAGTAATGACACCCCTTTAATAGAAATACTCAAAATATTATCAGCGTACCATAGCATGGGACCTGAATGTATAATGACCTCAGTCTCCATCTCACTGGGATCACTTGCAGCATGACATGCTGAGGGAAATGTGTAACAGTTTGTAACCAAATTGCTCAGACATGTGCCTGTGACTGTAATCTATGTAGATATCAGGAGCTGTAATGATCATCTATTGAATCTTTCATTACTCACCTCTAATTCATATGTTATGAGAACAAGTGAAGTATCACTTAGAATCATTGAGTCATAGAGCACAGAAACAGACCCTTTGGTCCAACCAGTCCATGCCGACCATAATCTCAAATTAAACTAGTTCCACTGGCCTGTGATTGGCCCATATCCCTTCAAACGTTTTCTAAATGGCTTTTAAATGTAACTGTACCCGCATCCACCACTTCCTCTGGAAGTTCATTCCACACACAAACCACTCTCTGTGTAAAAAAAAATGCCCCTCGTGTCTTTTAAACTTTTCTCTTCTCACCTTAAAAAATATCCCCCCAGACTTAAAATCCCTCATCCTAGGGAAAAAGACGCATGCCACTCACGTTATCTAGATACCTCATGATTTTATAAACCTCTGTAAGGTTACCCTTCAACCTCTTATGCGCCAGTGAAAAAAGTCCCAGCCTATCCAGCTTATTTTTATAACTCAAACCCTCCATTTCTGGCAACATTCTGGTACATCTCTTCTGAACCCTCTCTAGTTTAACATCCTCCCTATAACAGGGTGACCAGAACTGCGCACAGTACTCCAGAAGAGGCCTCACCAATATCCTGTACAATTTCAACAGGGCGTCCTAACTCCTATACTCAAAAGGTCTGAACAATGAAGGCAAATGTGCCAAACACCTTCTTAACCACCTTATCTACATGTGATGCAAGCTTCAAAGAATTATGTACCTGAACATTTAGGTTTATCTGTTCTACAAAATTCATTGGCATGAATCCCCTGCCGAAGACAAGAACCCATCACTAGGGCAGATCATGGTGGAAGCACAGTGGTAAGCAGCAGTAAATGCTTATAGAAGAATACAAGCTCTCACATACTGAAACAGCCTGGACTTCAAAGCATTTGGAAGACCAATAGCCCAAGTTTGTGTGAGTACAGATTTACAAACTAAATAATCAGGAAGCAGAATCAACCTAAAATTTAAGCCCTATCTAGCCAGAAGACCTGTATCACTTTTAAATCAGAAAGCATACTGATTTTTTTTTAAAAGTTAAGAAGCATTTTGATTGTTGCACCTTAAACATTTGCAAGTAAAAACTCAAAGGCTACTTTCAGTTTAAAAACAGAAGAAATGCAGAATAAAGGAAAATAGCTTTTTTAAACATTAAAAAGTAACTTTCTGAATGAAGAAAGTTTCCCTTTATTATCTTTCAGCTCTATTATCTGACATTTGCTGCTACAGGCCTTAATTTCTGAAAGACGTGAGCTAAAGGCATAACACTCATTAAAAGGTGCTGTGACAGTGAAAAAGAACATAATATAGAAGCAAAAGGCAAAAGTAAAATGTCAGAATAGCAAAACAAGTAAAA